GGTTCATGAGTTGATGGGTCGATACGTAGGGTCCAGGTGTGGGAGCTGCCTCCTTGGCGTCGGTAGCATTGGTGCTCAGCACGGAAAACCAGATCGACGACAAGTGTTTTTTTTTTTCGTTTCGGTTACTGTCGCGAGTGAAGTACCGGAAAGAACAAAAATTAATTTTGTTCGAGGACGCGCCGCAATTGGATTTGAGTATACATCCAAACACCTCGGACGATTCTATTTTTCGAAAGGAATTTCACCCCAGTTTACGACCGCCTACACGCCACAGCAAAACGGCGTTGCAGAGCGGAAAAATAGAAGCTTGGTGGAAATGGGACGCTGTATGCTACTGCACGGAGATATGGGATACCGTTTCTGGGCTGAGGCGCTCACCACCTGCCAACCAGATCAACAGACAAGACACCGTACGAGGCGTGGTATGGCAAGAAACCGAATCTCAACCATCTGCGAGTAGTCGGCAGCCAAGCTTACGTACACATTCCGTCGGATAAAAGATACAAACTGGAGCCGAAAGCTGTGAAGATGACGTTGGTGGGATACTCTGATCACCACAAGGCATATCGTTTCATCGATACCACGAATGACGTATGTTTTCTGGAGAGCTAAAAAACACACAAGCACTCGTACAAGCCAATCGATGTTATCGAGATCGAGTCACCGCTTCAGCATGATATCCAACCGGAACTCGAGCAAGAGGATGACGAACAGGATGACGTTTCCGATACGAACTCGAAATACGAATCCGATGAAGAATCTTTGGGTGAAACTTCAGATGAGCCAGTTACTCCGGCACGCAGATCGGAACGCACCACGAAAGGAGTACCACCTTCACGGTACCGGGAAACGAGTAGTCTGGTGAAAAATCTTCCACCTGGCCCTAGAACGTTCGAAGAAGTTCCGAAAGCGCGCTGTGGAAGGCTGCTATTGAGCTGCAATCGCTCCGTGCAAACCGCACATGGGAGCTGACGGACCTCCCTCGAGACCGAAAACTAATCGGATCCAAATGGATTTTCAAGCACAAGCAGGACGAGGTATTCGCTCTTGTAGTGAAACAGGTTACCTGTCGGTCGCTAGCCAGAGGAAGATGGTTGTGAAACACGCCGACGTGAAAACAGCGTACCTTCTCGGGATTCTGGAGGAAACCGTGGACATGCGTCCGCCACCTGGTTCGAACAAAGTAAGACTGCGTAGAGCCTATACGGACTCAAGCAGGCTGGCCGCGTTTGGAATCAAACATTCGACGCTGTTTTGAAGCCGATCGGGTTCGAGCAGTCCAAAAATGACTCGTGCCGCTACATTCGTCGCGATGGGAAGAAGTGTACGTACTTGGTGGTGTACGTGGACGACCTGGTTGTTGCCTGTGAAGAAGAAGTAGAGTATGAGCAGATATAATTCGAGAGCTGAACCGGCATTTCGAAGTGACGTCGCTGGGTGATATCAGGCACTTTCTTGGCATCGAGGTGAATCGATCAGCTGGAGGAGTGAGCCTGAATCAAACAACATACATCCGAAAGCTGCTGGAACGTTTCGGAATGACTGATGCAAAACCTTCTAAGTTTCCACTTAGCCCCAGCCACACACAATCTAAGGAGGAGGATAAATTGCCAAATAATCACCAATGTGCAAGCGGTTTATTGTACGTGGACGTTAATACGCGTCCAGATATTTCGGCTGCTGTATCGATACTGGGAAGAAGGACCAATTGGCCGACTCAAGCTGACTGGCTGGAAGCGAAGCGGGTATTGCGATACCTCAAGCAAACGTTAAACGATGAGCTGGTTTTGGGTGTGGATGGTTCATCGCTAAAAATCTCCGTCGACGCTTATTGGGCCGGTGACTCGAGTGACCGGAAATCAACGTCTGGTTTCTTGGTCCGTTTCGCTGGTGGATCTCTAAGCTGGAGTTCCAAAAAGCAAACTTGCGTCACGCTCAGCAGCACCGAAGCAGAGTATGATGCGCTAGCCGAGTGTTGTCAAGAGTTTCGTTGGGTCCGGAGAATTCTTCAACCATTGGCCGCCGTTCGAAACACATCGAGACGAAATTCCACTTCGTTCGAGAGCAGCAACAGAATGGAGAGATCGATATTCGTTACTGTCCGACTGATGCGATGGTTGCGGATATGATGACGAAGCCGTTGTAATCTGTTTAAGGGTTTCCGTGAAGAGCTGCTGGTGTACTTCCGTCGAGCACGCAGCATGCCATAATAATTTTGAATTTGTTCCATGTTACCATAGTAACCTCAATATAAGCTCGGTAAAAAGGAACATTCACTCTCTTATAGTTTTTTACATCGTAGGATATACAAGTTTTTTATTCCCACGATCTATGGCCATTCCAATAATTAATCCGGATACCTTTAAATCACTAACTCTTGAAATATATTGCACGTAGGAGTGAAAAATTTCGCTGAGGTATAGCTGGGAGTCATTGATGAAAAAGGCTATGATTGGTGTTTACACGGTAACCGCAAAATACCCAATAATGACTACAAAGTAAACATTTTCGAGGGAGACTGGGACTACCCATTAAATAAGTAAAAAATTTACCCATTTATGAGTATTTGTTACTTACTTACTACTTGTTTTTGTAGTTGTAATTACTCATAAATGGGTAAAATTTTACTTAAACTGGGACTAGTTTCCCTCGCAAATGCTTACTTTGTAGTCATTATTGGGTATTTTGCGGTTACCGTGTACATTCCATGTTTAGTGTTTAAGATCGCGACATATGGAAAACACGTGCGCGAACGGAATTTGTACGAACGTAATGCAAATCCTGACTACTGGTCAATAGGGAACTTGCAAAAAAATTGGATTTACCTAATTCCACTATTCACGGTGTGCTCAATTCATTTTCGGAACGTATGACGGTCGAGAGGAAACCGAGAAGTGATAAAAACATTGAACGTGCTGATCCTGTCATGGACCAAAAGATGAAGAGGATATCGAATCTCTCTGTTCGAACGGTGGCTCGTAAAATTGGAACGTCACCTGATTTTGTCCAAAAATCAAAACAGCGTTTGGGGCTGAAGTCGTATAAAGTAAAAACAGTTCCAAATCGCAACGAAAAACAGCAAAATTTTTCATCATGCCATTATGCTAAAACCATAGAGGTAACTCTAAGACCAGAAGGTCCCGAAGAAACGTGCACAACTTTTTGGTTCAGCTCTGGTATTATCTTCGGTCCCAAGCTAATCGATGCACCCCTCGAAACATAGGAAAATCCACGAACCCCTCATTTTATGGGTATGCTTATAGATTTACTTGGGACCAATAGGCTAGTCAAGTAGTGAGCCAATTTAAAATCGTTAGTTTCCCCCGGTTGCTAAAACTGTGATGGAGTGGTACGAAGTAAATCAAGTGAATATTGTACCAAAAACCGCAAATCCGCCCAATTTTCTAGAGCCCAATCGAGAGATAGTGGGCTCTGAAGAAGCGGAAGCTTTCTGGAAATAAACAAGGAATCAAAGATATCAAACAATTCCAACATATTTGGACAAAGACGGCCACCATGCTATCTGAGGAGTCTGTACGAATCCTGATGGATGGAGTTAAGCGCAAAGTTCGAAAATTTTATGCAAATATCGTATAACTATGTTTTCGTGAATTTTTAAATCAGATGGCTCTAATGTTGGCCTATGCATCTAAGATTGGGCGCATCGCTAAAAATCTGCTATTTATCAATTTTATCTAGATGAACGTGTCATTGGGATGGTACTAATAGATATTTTTGGTCGCTATTGGAAGTTTTGTCGTTTGCTGAATTTATGTATGGGCCCAAATTAGGGGCATTTAGGCCGACATTACATCAATTTCCCCTATCATATGAATCTGAAATAAACAACTACAATTGAAATATAATGCGACAAACATCAATCCGACAAACACAAAATTTCTTAACGAGCATCACTCTCGGCATCACTCCATTATCGTACCGCATGTGCTCAATTTTGCAGCTTTCCTTTCACTTTTACTTTGTTGAATCCATGGTACCGGAAAAGATATACATAGATATATAAATTATTAGCAATGCTGTGATACAACCACAACGGGATGACCGTTCAGAATGGTTCAACGGTGTGAAATGAGGGAATATTTAAATTTAACACGATTTATAGTATTTCAACGCAACATAAATTTTTTTGACTAACAACGCATTTTTCAATATGTTATCTTAACTAATTTCTGGAAGCATTTGCTTGTGTTCTATACAAATAGTATCAATGTACCGTCATATCGATTCTTCAAGTGATCTTCGCAAGCTCCACATTTCATTCAGGCTCTTTGGAAATACATGTGGTTAAACGCACCTTTTAAAGTGAATTGCACATAACAATGTCTAGTGTCATCACTTGCTCACACATGAAATCCGCCTCGACCAACCTGGCAGAACGCGCCCTACACACTTAGAAATTATCGCCGACTTCGGTAATTTTTACCGAAATCTGAACAACTGAACTGTTCGGTAAAATTTATGCAATTCAATTCAATTGCTTTTCAGCTACTTTGAAACTAAATCTCCACTAAAATGACAAGATTTAATCATTTAAACAAGGTTGAACATGCTTTAAAATTCAAAAGCCTTTAAAATGAAGGTCAAAGTTTTGCCGAACATTCAGCTGTTCTGATTTCGGTAAAATTTACCGAACACGGAACCAAAATTTTTGTGTGTAACTCTCACTGAACCAAAGGACAGGGCCTTCGACAAAGACGTAGTCCTACGTCAAGATCAATCTTGCATTGGAGGGAAGATTGATTGCAATTTTGAACTTCAGGGCACTGAGTTCTACCTTGAAAACAATCGCACCGATCTAGACACCGATAGATTTTACATCAAAATGGTGACTGTGGTATATTGAAACGATATTAAAAATATGTAATTGAATGAATATACAATTATATTCAAGACAACACATTGCCTAATGCTTCATTATCTTTCAGATTTGGAGTTTAAATCCCAACCAATAATCCAAATCCCACTTCTCATTGCAGCACACCGTTGAATTTCATTGAAAACCCCTGTAACGTAACAGGCACGAAAACGTCTAATCACAGTACGAACCACCTCGGGGGTAACGAAGCCGAAGGCAGCAAAGGGCAGAGCGTGTCACTTCGGCTTCGTTCGGTGGAGGGATCGACGACCAGAGGCAGCAGTTACGGCGGCGGCAGCAGCAGCAACACCAGCGGCACTAGCAGCAACAGCGGCAGCAAGCGCCCTCCAAGCATGGCGTCCAGTTGTTGTGGAACGAAGAAGCAGAAGCTCAACGGCAACTACGCGAACGCCAACGGGCACTGCAGTGGCGGTGGCTCCAACGGGAAAGGCCCAATGACCAACGGTCACAGCAATGGGTATCTAACCAATGGGCACGCGGTGGACGGTGGCGATGGCAACCAGTCGGCCATCGGCTCCATGTCGGAGATGTGCTTCTACTGCTTCGAGGTGCTGTACCGGGAGCTGAACCAGATGGAGGAACCTCGTACGCCGTCCTTCACCAATGATCCTTAGTGAGTTTGAGTGGGAAGTGTGGGGGAGCAGGGGTGATACATGTCATGCAAATGTTATGGGGAAAAATGTCGTGACATTAATTTAACTTGTGTTTCTCTTGCAGCCCATTGTTTGTCACTTGGAAAATCGGGAAGGACCGGCGTTTGCGCGGGTGTATCGGAACGTTCAGCGCTATGCGTCTTCACTCAGGTTGGTTCGCCGTTTAATGAGGCTAGAATCAGTTAGATTTAATTTGAAATTTTGGTTTTCCGAAAAGGTCTTCGAGAATACGCAATAACAAGTGCTTTAAAGGATTCGCGCTTCTCCCCCATCACGCGAGACGAGATCCAAAGACTGACCGTGTCGGTGTCGATCCTGCAGGGCTTCGAGGAGGCTCGGGGCTATCTGGACTGGACGCTTGGCGTGCACGGCATTCGGATAGAGTTCTACAACGAACGTGGCTCAAAACGAACCGCCACCTATCTGCCACAGGTGGCCACCGAGCAAGGTAGGTGCATCGCTTCCGAAATATCCTAACCACTAGACAATATGGGAACTTACTTAAAGCGTGCTGAACACACACACGGCGATTTTTGCGACGTACTTTTATGGCCGAAAATATTCAATACGAGATCCTTGCTACCTGTGGTTCACACGGGTGACTTTAAACAAATAATTTTTTTAAATTTACTTAATTGTTTCTTAGGAATTCATCATTTATCTCACGAAAATTTGTTCAATTTTCCTCCAGATTTTTTTAGAATTCGCTTGGAACATTCCGCGGTATGCCATTTAAAATTAAAGGGTGATACGGTCATAATTTGGTCAAGGGAAAACGCGTGTAAATCGGTGAAATCGTTTATTTAAAAAATCAAATTAAATTTCTTTTTCAAGTTCAATTAGTATAAAATTCAGGAAAAATATTCAGTTAGGCTTCCGCTTTTCCAAATCCGAATTGCCGGGCCTTACGCTTGACCCCTGCCATGAGATTTTGTACAGCCACCTTGTCCACCTTCTTCGCCGCAGAAAGCCAGTTTGCCTTGAACTGCTGCTCGCCCTTAGCAGTTTTTTTGGTCTTCTTTAGGTTCCGCTTGACAATAGCCCAGTATTTCTCAATTGGGCGGAGCTCTGGCGTGTTGGGAGGGTTCTTGTCCTTGGGAACCACCTGCACGTTGTTGGCGGCGTGCCACTCCATGGCCTTTTTACCGTAATGGCAAGATGCCAAATCCGGCCAAAACAGTACGGAACAACCGTGTTTCTTCAGGAAAGGCAGCATACGTTTATTCAAACACTCTTTCACGTAAATTTCTTGGTTGACAGTCCCGGAAGCTATGAAAATGCTGCTTTTCAAGCCACAGGTACATATGGCTTGCCAAACCAGATATTTCTTTGCGAACTTTGACAGTTTCATGTGCTTGAAAACATCTGCTACCTTTCCCCTTCCTTTTGCCGTATAAAACTCCTGTCCCGGAAGCTGCTTGTAGTCGGTTTTGACGTAGGTTTCGTCGTCCATTACCACGCAGTCAAACTTCGTCAGCATCGTCGTGTACAGCCTCCGGCATCGCGCTTTGGCCGTCGTATTTTGTTTATCATCGCGATTTGGAGTCACTACCTTCTTGTAAGTCGATAGTCCGGCTCGTTTTTTGGCTCGATGCACGGTTGTAGACGATACACCCAGCTTATTTGCGGCATCTCGGAGAGAGAGGTTAGGGTTTCGCTTGAAACTACCGGCAACTTTCTTTGTCGTCTCAGCGGCTTCCGGTTTTCGATTTCCCCCCGATCCAGACTTCCTGGCTGTCGACAAACGTTCCCCAAACACTTTAATTACATTTGTAACGGTTGATTTGGCAACTTTTAGCGATTTTGCCAACTTTGCGTGCGAGTAGCTCGGATTTTCGCGATGCGCGAGCAAAATTTTGATACGCTGCTCTTCTTGCTTGGACGGCATTTTGACAACTGAAGAGTGAATTTCAAAATCAAAATAGGAGCAACATTCTACACACACACACCTTCAAAATGAGGGGTGTTCAGGTTTTTTAAATGCAAAATTGAAAGAAATACGTCAAGTTGATATTGACCAAATTTTGACCGTATCACCCTTTAGCTTCCGGGACTGTCAACCAAGAAATTTACGTGAAAGAGTGTTTGAATAAACGTCTGCTGCCTTTCCTGAAGAAACACGGTTGTTCCGTACTGTTTTGGCCGGATTTGGCATCTTGCCATTACGGTAAAAAGGCCATGGAGTGGTACGCCGCCAACAACGTGCAGGTGGTTCCCAAGGACAAGAACCCTCCCAACACGCCAGAGCTCCGCCCAATTGAGAAATACTGGGCTATTGTCAAGCGGAACCTAAAGAAGGTTAAAAAAACTGCTAAGGGCGAGCAGCAGTTCAAGGCAAACTGGCTTTCTGCGGCGAAGAAGGTGGACAAGGTGGCTGTACAAAATCTCATGGCAGGGGTCAAGCGTAAGGCCCGGCAATTCGGATTTGGAAAAGCGGAAGCCTAACTGAATATTTTTCCTGAATTTTATACTAATTGAACTTGAAAAAGAAATTTAATTTGATTTTTTAAATAAACGATTTCACCGATTTACACGCGTTTTCCCTTGACCAAATTTTGACCGTATCACCCTTTACTCGATCAACCTGAAGTCTTGTAAACATATCCAAAGAATTTTATGAAGATCTTTGACCAACTGAAAAGTTTTGGAATACGTCTTAATCACCCTGGTATCTTATGATTTTAATTGTTGGACAGTTTGAGATCTTCAGAGCAATACCTGATCAGCCTGAAGTCTTAAAAAAATATTCATAGGATTTTATGAAGACCTTAGATCAACTGAAGATTTTTGGAATAATTTATGATGGACTTAATATCGTGAGGGAAAATTCGGAAGACATGATTTGAATTGTTGGACAGCTGGAGATCTTAAACATGATTCCTGATCATCCTGTATTCTTGAAAAGCATATCCAAAGGACTTAATGAAGATCTTTTATCAACTGATGGTCTTTGGAATAATTTACAATGAGTCTTGATGTCTTGAGAGAATATCCGGGAGACATAAATTGTAATGATGAGATCCTCAGAATAATGTTTGAAACAATCTTTAAAATACTTTATGGAGATCTTTAATCGTTTGAAGTTCTTTGAAATATTTCCCGATTAACCTGATTGTGCGGTATCAAATACCCTCCGCATAGAGATGCGAGCCGCCCACTATCCATCACACAAATAACCCTGCGCACTCCTCAGTAGACGCGACGGGTGACAACGAGAACACGCAGCAATCGTCTCTCGACCTCTTTGCCCTCGGACCACGACCGCGTACGGACGCATAGGTAAGCTCTCAGGAGAACTCCCACAACGGACACCAAACCATACCCCAGGACAATCAGGATTTCTCCGGATTGGTGGAACCCCACACTGATGTCTGGACAGTTTAAGAACTTCAGAACAATACTCAATCAACCTGAAGTCTTGAAAAAATATTCAAAGGACTTAATGGAGATCTTTGATCAACTGAAGGTCTTTGGAATAATTTCTGGTAAAACTTTATGGAGATGTTTGATCATCTGAAGGCCTTCGAAATAATTCCTGGTCAACCTGATATCTTGAGAAAATTTCTGACAATCATGATTTGAATTGTTGGTTGGTTGTTGATCTTCAGAATAATACCTGGTCCACCTGATGTCTTGAACAAATATCCAAAGGGTTTTATCGTAATTTTCGATCAACTGAAGGTCTTTGGAATAATTTCTGATCAACCTGACAATTTGAAAGACGAGGGACGTTCACAGAATTTCCTACAATTCTACAGAACTTGCGACAAGTTCACAGAAGTTCCGTCAAGTTTTCAGTACTTCTGACAAGCTTTCAAAATTTTCGACAAGTTCACAGATTTTTCACCAAGTTTATAGAACTTTCGACTTGTTCATAGATCTTCCGACAGGTTCACACAACTTCCAATAAAAACACTTAACTTCCGACAAGTTCACTGACCTTGCGTCAGGTTCACTGAATTTCCGACAATTTCACAGAATTTTCGACAGGTTCACTGAATTCCCAACTGGATTTTCCGACACGTTTTTAGAACGTCTGACAAGTGCATAGAACTTCCGACAAAATTTACAGAACTACGCAATACTTCCGACAAGTTCACAAATCTTTGGCAAAGTTCATAAAGCTGCTAACAAGTTATAGAATTTCCTTCACAGATGTTTTGACAAGTCTACAGAACTGTTGACAGGTTCACTGAACTTACGACATATTCATGGATTTTCCGAGAAGTTCTCAGAAATTACAACAGGTTTACTAAAAATCTGACAAGTTTCCAGAACTTTCGACAAGTTCACAGATTTTTCACCAAGTTTATAGAACTTCCGACAAGTTCACTTCCAATAAATACACTTACACAACTTCCGACAAGTTCACTGACCATGCGTCAGGTTCACTGAACTTCCGACAATTTCGAATTTTCGACAGCTTCACTGAACTCCCAACTGGTTAATGGAACTTCCAACAGGTTCACAGATCTTCCGACACGTTCATAGAACTTCCGAAAAAAATTACAGAACTACCGTCAAGTACGCAATAACTTCTTTCACAGATGTTTCGACAAGTCCACAGAAGTTTGGACAGGTTCACTGAACTTATACAAAATTTCTGGGTTCTCACAACTTCCAACAGGTTCACCTAAATTCCGACAAGTTCACAGAAGTTCCGTCAAGTTTTCAGAACTACTGACAAGTTCACAAAACTTCCGGAAAGTTCGCAGATTTTTCACCAAGTTTATAGAACATCCGACTTGGTCATAGATCTTTCGACAAGTTCACTCCCAATAAATACACATACACACCATCCGACAAGTTCACTGACATTGCGTCTGGTTCACTGAACTTCCGACAATTTTCGAACTGAACTTCCAACTGATTAATGAAATTTCCGACTGGTTCACAGATCTTCCCACACGTTAATGGCATTTCTGATAAGTGCATAGAACTTCCGACAAATTTACAGAACTACCGTCAAGTTCGCTATACTCCCAAAACAGGGGCCACATTGCGCATCTCGAAACGAAAAACTTCTTTCGTTTCAAGATTCGCAATGTGACCCCAGTCTCCAGAACTTCCAGGAAGTTCACAGAGCTTCCGACAAGTTCACAGAACTTCCTTCACAGATATTTCGACATGTTCACAGAACTGACAGGTTCGCTGAACTTCCAACATATTCATGGGTTTTCCGAGAAGTTCCCAGAACTTCCAACAGGTTCACTACAATTCCGACAAGTTCACAAAACTTCCAGAAAGTTCGTAGAATGTCTGAAAGTTCATAAAACTTACGCCAAATTCACTTATCTTCCTACAATTTCACTGAACGTCAGACAAGTTCGCAAAACTACCTACAAGTTTACAGAATTTCTGACGGGTTCACTGAACTTCCGATATGTTCACCGATCTTCCGACAAATTCACACTATTAAAAATCTCTCTCTTCTTTTCCGCTTCCTGT